CGAATAAGTGGGAGGGGCTATAATGTAAGCTCAGAATGAACCGAGTTTAAAATAAACATGATTTACTATGTGTAAACACAGATGTCACTACCGGGCCAGCTGAATCGAGTTTTATAGTGTGAACATCGTAAATAATCCGTTTTATTGCGGTTGTCTTATGCAGTTACAAGATAACTAAATAAACAGAGACTTCGTACAAGAATTTTCTGTTTGGGTACCTCTGTCCCATTCGTATTTCAGACAAGCTGTGCTTGACAGTTTTTTTTAAAGAGTACCCACTATTATCCATTGCAATGGAGACATGATTGCTATATATATATATATATATATATATATATATATATATATATATATATATATATATATATATATATATATATATATATATATATATATATATATATATATATATATATATATATATATATATATATATATATATATAATACAGCATTAATTTTTATCCAATTAAGTGCCTTAAATACATTGTCCATTTGATATAGATCAATATGGCCATTTACAGCATGTAATTTAAATGAATATTTCCGAAGATATAACAGTTTTTAATTACAAAATGACGTTTGTATTGTCTAATGACAAAGAAGCTGTAAACGTTATTTATAAGGACATTCTGTAGTAGGTAGGTATATTTAGTGTCAGCATTGCACCCGTGCGAAGCCGGGGCGGGTCACTCGTACCCTATAAGATCGAATTCCACACGGTTCCCCCTGGAAACCATCGTGGTTAATTCTTGTGGAATTCATCACAATGGGTTAACTGACCTGGTTTCATCCTCATCTGTCATCCCTCACTGGCGGCCGCTAGCGTATACCGTTAGCGCAGGCGGAGTTACTATTCCAATATCAACCATTAAAAAATCCCATTGTCATGCATATACCTGGCATTCAGCACGATGATTTTCAGGGGGATCAAAGGAAGATCAACCTGACAGGGTCACAACCTAGCAATGTGCCAGTATTGGGTCTGATAGTAAGCTTTACTTACAGTCCCTTCCGGGGGGAAAGGGATTGTTAATAATGGAGACTGAGAATCCCATTGCTAGCAATATACCCAACCAGGTCGACCTCCTCGCGGTTCCCCCCGGAAACTATCATGGTTAATTCCTGATGAATTCATCATGATGCGCTAACTGGCCTGTTTTTATTCTCATCTATCACCCTTCACTGGTGCTCCGCCGGCGTATACCGTTAGCGCAGGCGGGGTTACCATACCATTTTCACCCATCAAAACAACACTCCCTTCCCCCCACCCTGGTGGATCAGTTCTATGTTAGTCAGTCGACAACAGAGACACGACGCTACGGTGTCTTAAAACATGCATTCTAAATTTGTAATCTATTTTTAGGAACAACCCACATTAGTGTTGAAAAAACATCTCGCAGTGTCGCTTTATAAAATGCATACTCTGCGACTTTACAAACGAGTATATTCTTTATTGCATCTAAAACATACGGTAATAATACAGTGGAATACGCCTCACAAATTTGGAATCCGAGATATAAAACTTATAAACTCTCGGACGAGAGTTTATAAGTTTATGTTTTTATGAATTTTATCTATGATATGTGTACTTAATTCCTGCCGACCAGAAGTTGTTAACTCCAAACAGTTAAGACACTAGAGTCCCTTAAAATTCACGAAAAATGACTAAAAAACACTCATTTTCAGCACGCTGTCGCTAATGGTAGGTATTTATTGAGCAAATTATTATTTGATATACTTAAACTACTATCTATTCACCTAAGAATTACGGTTCAATAATGGAATAATCTTCAAAAAGAAAAAACTTTGCGGAAAAATTAATTAAACTAAAAAAAATCGATATTTTGAAGTTTTTATTTAAATGCGCGGAATCAAGCGCTTATAAAAATCAAATTCGTGTAAATTTCATTCTTAGGAACCCTAGAGAAGAGTCCCTCAAAGTTACACTAAAATCTAAAATGGGTCAGCTTTGCCGATTAGACGATTTCAAATGGAATGACTCCGTCTTGAAAATATTCAGAAAAAGTTTATTCGTTTCTTGGCATGAATGTGGCATGATAGAACGTGATGATTACATGATAGATATGATTCTTCTGACTATCTTGAATTCTGTAAAAAAAACACCACTTTCTCGCACTCGAAAAGCGCAGAAATATCGCTGACATTGCATATCTGGTGAGGATAGCTTCCGCTGAGGTTGATTGCCCGGAACTACTACAAGAATTAAAACTACATGTACCAATTAAGTCTAGAAGGCATAGTTCTACTCTATTTGTCCCACTAGTGTTATCCAATTATAGACCAAATTCGTTCCTTTGGGGAGCAGCTAGCAACAACTTTAATACTATTTCTAAAAGTCTTAATATAGATCTATTAGGGGGGAAGGGATTGTTAGTAATGCTGATTATTAGTCCCATTGCTAATAATATACCCTAACAGGTCGACCTCCCCGTGGTCCCCCTTGGAAACCATCGTGCTGAATCATCACGATGGGCTAACTGACCCGCCTTTTTATCTTCACCAATCATCCCTCACTGGTGCCCCGCCAGTGTATACCGTTAGCGCAGGCGGGGTTACCATGCCATTATCATCCATCAAAAAAAAATATAGATCTATTTTCGAAAAACATAATATCAGTGAGAGACCAACTGAGTACGCAATTTTTTATTCATAGCCAGTTTGAATAGCTATTGTACGGACAAGATGGCCATATTTTAATCAAATACTTGTAATTAATTTTTACTTTGTATTTTATTCATCATTTTTTTTTTTGTTTTCGTTCTTGTTTGTTCATTTTTTTTTACAAGCTTTTATTTAACTTCACTGTTTTTGTTAACTCCTATTTTTGTTTCTCTGTGTACAGTGCCTTGTGTCTATATTGTTGCTACTTGGTAAAATCTATTAGTGGCTTACTTTGTGATCCTAAACTGTATTTTTTTTTTTTGCTCTAGTCCAGCCCTGATTTTCCTATTAATAAATAAATAAATAAATAACAATGTTATAACAAAGGCGTACTTATCTCTAAAAGAGATCTCTTCCAGTCAACCTGACACAGTGGCATAGGAAGTAGCGAATGGGCAGCAGTAGTGCAAAACGATTTACCAATCATTATGATATCATATTTCTTTATTAACCAACGTAACAGTTTTAGTCACACAATGGCAAGTCAATATTTTCATTATAATTTTGAAATTAATAAAACAATGATAATAACATTTGAATTATAAAATAGAAATAACATTACAAATTAATTACAGTTAACATTATAAATTAGTTATACTACATGTCAATATAACGGTAACTATATGCCAAAAATGATGACTTCAGGTTAATGAAAATTGGAACTGTCACACTTGTTAGAATTAAACATAAATAAATAATAATATGTCATAATTTAATATTGGCATTTAGGTATCCGGTATTATCTCTGTATTTGAAATATATAATACTATTACATATATACAATATATGTATGTAAATATAATATTTTGTAGGTAAAATCATACACAATTTCAGAGTGGATCACTTTGTCTTTTTTTAAATTAACGACTTAAGTAAATGATACTTTATGAAATGAAATAATATGAAATGAGATGAAATGAGATGAAATGAGACGAAATGAGACGAAATGAGACTAAATGAGACGAATTGAAATGAAACGGAATAGAATGGATTGGAATGGAATGGATTGGAATGGAATGGAATGAAATGGAATGAAAAGAAATGAAATGAAATGAAATGAAATGAAATTAGTGTATTTGCATTAAACAGTTTTAAATTTATTACAAAAACTACGTGGTAGAATTTTAGCACCTATTTAATTGGTTTAAGCGATGTAGGCATGCAAATATTGACATTTTATAAAAAAAAAACGAAAAACAAAATTATGATTCAATTGCATCATTATGTAGATGATGATGATTTAATAAATTTCAATTCTGGAAAGTTATTTTAAGAATAAAATAAATTTATAATTTTTTTTAGAAATTCCCACATACAAATAGTACATATACACATATGTATTTAGAAATTTATACGGGAACAAAAACAAATTGGACTCCCCACTAATGAGACAGCTGTTTTTCGCAGATTCATGCAAACTCATTAAAAATAGACAGATGATGTGTAGAATGACCGTAATAAAGTAACGCGACCTTCAATTTGAGCGTATATCCGTTATTTTAAAATGCTAATCCAATGCATAATCCCGGGCTACAGTATATTTTGCATAGATACAAGTAAATATAACACTATACCAGAGGGGAGACTTTGTACAAAAGTCGTTTGCTTGGTCACCTCTGTCCCATTCGTGTTTCTACCGTGAAGCAGTTGTGTTTGCATGGCCGTGTTTCGGTTTGAAGGGTGGGATATGGCGTAAATTTACTGGGTACAGAGGAATAACACCTGAGTCCTCAGGAATGGCAACACATGGGGGTCATTCTAAGTTGTATAAAAAAAATATAAATATGACAGAGGTAATCAAATGTACAAGGCGAGCTTAACTCTAATAGAGTTCTCTTCCAGCAACGCCCAAAGTGGAAAGGTGTTTTAAATGTTTAAAATTTTTAAGTTTGTAAAATAAACCTATGGTTCACTATACGTTTTGAGATACTGTAAGTGTGGTGAGTAATTTATAAAGTAAATAAACCAGAGGGAGACTTTGTACAAAAGTCGATTGCTCGGCCACCTCTGTCCCATTCGTGTTTCAACCGTGAAGCAGTTGTGTTTACAGGGCTGTGTTTCGGTTTGAAGGGTGGGATATGGCGTGAATTTACTGGGTACAGAGGAATAACACCTGAGCCCTCAGGAATGGCAACGCATGGGGGTATTGTGGGCGAAACAGTATACTCTATTATGTCTACGGTACTGCTCATGTGTACAGGTGACGGTTACCACTTTCCATCAGGTGAGCCGTCAGCTTGATTGCCATTTTAAGTTGTATAAAAAGAAAATAATTCGGTCCCGTGGACGAAGTCGTGTGTTAAAGCTAGTACATACTTCAATTCTCCACACTTCAAGGCCAGGACTCCTTCCGGAGTTCTCGAACGCTGCGTGGACTTCAGGCATTGTCTGCGGTATAAAAGTAAATGTATTCAATAACTTGACAGCTGGACGCGCTAGGGGGGAGGGGGGGGAGGAGGGAGTGTTAGTAATGAAGACTAAGAGCCCTATTGCTAGCAATATATCCAACCGGGTCGACCTCCCCGTGGTCCCCCCTGGAAACCATCGTGATGAATTCAACAAGAATTACCCTACAACAGTTTCCAGGGAAAACCGAGTGGATGTCGACCTGATAGGCTATGTTGCTTACTATTTCGTTATCATCCATTAAAAAAAAAACTCATGGACTAACATTTAAGATTATAAACACTTGAATGAATGAATGAGTATACTTTATTTGCATTATACAATATAGGAAATAAGCAAGACAATTTTCAAACACAACGATACAGTTGTATAAGTACAGTAAGGCGGTCTTATTGCTGAGAGCAATCTTTTCAAGACAACCTTGATTGCATTTTTCTCATGGCGTTAATTGCATGCTGGTCGAATGCATGTGTTTCTTATTGTCTTGTTAATTAACCGACTTCGAAAGGAGGTGGTTAAATTCCTAAATTACATTAAATATAAATAGTTTCCTCATAACTTAATCAATTCTAATTAAGTCGTGTTCCTCAAAAAAAAAAACTCAATTTTTTTATTTATACAACTTAGAATGACAAACAAGCTTACGGCCCACTTGATGGAAAGTGGTAACCGTCGCCTATACACATGAGCACTACCGTGGACATAACAGAGTATACTGTTTTGGCCATGATATCCCCCATGCGTTGCCATTCCTGAGGACTCAGGTGTTGTGTTGTTGTACCCAGTAAATTCACTGCCATATCGCACCCTTCAAACCGAAACACAGCCATGCAAACACAACTGCTTCACGATGGAAACACGAATGGGACAGAGGTACCCAAGCAATCGACTTTTGTACAAAGTCTCCCTCTGGTAAATTATACCAAAACTAGTTGTTTTAATTTAAACACTAAACTTCTGAACAATTTTGATACGACTTCTATGGATCTGTAAGTATATCCTTGCAAATAAAAAAAAAAGATTTTTCCAAAATGTTTTACAACTGACGGAGTTATGAGGTTACAAACAAAAAAAAATATATAACCTAATTTTGGCAGTCTGTTAAAAACTATAACTACACTATGACTAAATATTGGAGATATTTAAGAAAAAAAAAGGCAATACGCGAGTTAAAAATACGTTATAAAAAAACATAACGCAAAAATATTTAAGTTCTCATTGTTCTAAATTAAAAAAAAAAACTTATTATTTATTTACTCGACACATTTATCACTTATATGTCTAATTAAAATCACTAAAACAAACATAAATACAAAAAAAGGACAATTGCCGAATGGTTGCTATGCCAACGCTAATAAAAAGTGAAACGAAACGAAACGAAACAAACTTAAACTTATCATTTCATTAAAAACACTAAATGTCATTAATGACTGTTAATATAAATAGATAAAGTATAAATATAAATTTTAGAATAATAATACAATAATATTTCAACTTATTTTTTTATTAGAATGAGGTAAAAACATAGAAAAAAAACAATCGAGAATATTGTACTTACATGAAGCAGGTAGATACGTCCTCTCAACGCAGTAAAAAGGACAGCACTAACATGAAAAGTAAAAACGGGGTTGCCAGATCTGACTGTTGATATCTACCCATGTTGAGTTGCTTGCACATAGAAAAAAAAAATCGTAAATATCATACTTACATAAAATAGATAGAAACGTGCTCTCGACGCAGTATAAAGGACAGCATTAATATGAAACGGGGTTGCCAGATCTGACTGTTGATATCTACCCATGTTGAGTTTCTTGCGGATTCTTCTATACAAAATAATAAGTTACCGAACACTGCAGTAAATTAAAAAAGGTGCTTGTAAACAAGTCTATTTAAATAAATTAAATTATTTGAAATTGTTTTACTAACAAATTTAATGAAATTTAAGTATATCATTCTGGAATATTTTAATGTACAATACCAATTACTTTAATATAAATTGAATGAGTAAATTTATACATACACGCGTACATATTTTCACATGTTATCTTTCTATATTTGGACAGTTATAAGAGCAGAGTAAGATCTAAAAAATCGAGTTTCAACCGTGAAGCAGTTGTGTTTGCATGGCTTAGTTTCGGTTTGAAGGGTGGGATATGGCGTGAATTTACTGAGTACAGAGGAATAACATCTGAGTTCTCAGGAATGGCAACGCATGGCGGGTATCATGGGCGAAACAGTATACTCTGTTATTTCCATGGTACTGCTCATGTCTATAGGCGACGGTTACCACTTTCCATCAGGTGGGCCGTCAGCTTGTTTGCCATTCTAAGTTGTAAAAAAAAGATACCAGGGGAGTGAATACGGAAATGACTGCGAATATAAAAGTATAGAAGAAAAAACATATTATGTCGATTCTAAATAATAATTGGAATAAGGGTTGGAAGATGATAATCACCTTTCTGTATAGTTTTATTGAAGTAATTGAATTATACTGTTTACAATATAATTAAATTTGTTTATTTGTCGGGTTAGTATACTTATTTCTTCAGTTATATTGTATAAAAATTTATAACTTTGTTTTTTTACGTCTACATGTTGGTAGTATTTGTATACTTATTTATTTGTGTAGGTGTTTATATGCATGTGTGTGTATATATGTATGCGTATGTGTATATATACGTATATAATAGTTAGTAGGGATATATATTTACATTATTACATGTATTATATCTCCATATTCAGTAATAATAGGATCTTCATCGTGCCTCCAATCGAACTGTTTATAATTACTCCTCTCCATCCAAAGGTTGGCTGCAAGAGATCGCTCTTAGCGATAAGGTCGCCCATTGTTTTCTCACTGTGCTCATTTCTTGTAATTGTTTGTATTTATAATAAGTTTACTATTGTAATCTTTTGAAGGAAACAATAAAGAGTATCTATCTATCTACAATAATGAATAAATACCGTGACGACTATTGGACATCAGCAGATTATCTCATGGTATAGTTGAGTCATTTATTCATTTATTTACATTTTTTTTTTCATTGTACTGAAATAATGAATTGTTTTTGTCATTTCTTTCTAATAAATTTTGTTACCCACAATTGCGATGAAAAGATACAATCTGGCAACATTGACATTGAAAACCGAAACAAATGCTCTATCGAGCGAAACGTTGGGCGTTAAAGGGTGAGATAATAATGATAATAGCTTGCAGATGCGATGACAAAATATCAAGTTTAAAAAGCAGCTTAGAAACCTACTTTTTTCTTTTTTTTTCTGTGTATATCTTTGACGAATAGACAAAGAGAATTATTACATTCTCTATATGTTATTACATTCTAATGCTATAATTTCGCCAGTTCTGTACCGAATTAGACGATTCCAATTTCAAATATAACTTTTCTTTTTTTTTCTGTGTTTGTCTTCGTCGCATAAACAAAGAAAATGTAATATAATGCTATAACCTCGCCAGTTCTGTACCGATTTAGACGATTCCAATTTCAAATATAACTGCAATAAAATTAAAAAGCATTTTGTGCGCTGGCATAGTGCAACCAACCGTTGAAAATAGAACATTCTTTCTTCGATTAATCGCATTCATGAACAACTTTAGAGTCGATTCTGAAGCGTTATTTTTCTAAACCTAGTTATCTCTTAATCTAATACTTCAAATTGATAATTTCATTTATTAAAAAATATGTGTATGTATGTATATGTGGGGGGTATCATGGGCGAAACAGTATACTCGGTTATGTCCATAGTACTGCTCATGTCTATAGGCGACGGTTACCACTTTCCATCAGGTGGGCCGACAGCTTGTTTGCCATTCTAAGTTACATAAAAAAAAAAATTCTATGTTTGTTACCTCACTGTCAGTTGTAAACCGATTCGGAAATTTTTTTATCTAAAAAGCTATACTTATAATTTGTACCATAGAAATTTTATCGAAATAGGTTCAGTAGTTTAGTTTTTAAGCCAAAATAACTGATTTCGTCACAATTTAATTCGCTTTTGTTTGTGGGGCACAATCTTTATTTATAAAACTATCTGGCTCGAAGGACCAAAAACACGAACATGGGCGATTTATCATTATATTCTTTAAAATCAAAGTCAAAATAACTGATTTTGTCATAATTGAAAGCGCTTTTATTTGTGGGACACAATCTTTATTTACGAAGCTATCCGGCTTGAAGGATCAAAAACACATCAAAATAACTAATTTTATCATAACTGAAGTCGCTTTTGTTTGTGGGACACAATCTTTATTTACGAATCTATCCGGCTCGAAGGACCAAACGACACTAGGGGAGAAAAATTATCCTTATGTTCTATTGAAATAGAGTGTAGATTTGCATACTTCGTTATTCACGCTTCATTGTATCCATAGTGAATCATGACCAGCAGCTTGCTTGTACGTAATACGTTTTCCTTATTTCACAATACAATAATTAGTAGGTTTATTTATTTATTTATTTATTCATTAGTACAAATATGTGTACATGGCGGACTTAATGCTAAAAGCATTCTCTCCCAGTCAACCATAGGGACGTGTCAGAATACTCGAATGCGGTACTAGTAATTATTGATATACATACATACTAAAATTACATATATAAACGAATAAATATATATAAATAACAAATATACTTACACATATATGACATATACTATATTATACACGAAATTGGGAATAATATAAAGCACTTACTGCTCGGATAAAAATAAAAAGTGAGCGTGAATGCTTTTCTTTGAAAGACGGTTTAGTCGGTAGTCTCTTAATGGCATCAGGAAGCGCGTTCCACAGTCGTGAAGAATGTAGGAGGAAAGAGTTTGAATCGTAACCAGTACGGTGAGAGGGGAAAGATAATTGGAGAGTATTATTGGAACGAAGGTTACGTTCGTGAGTTTCAGAAAGATAATGGAATTTACTCCTTAAGTAGTTAGGAGACTGTATGTATGTGTATATTGAATCTCGACTCTTGATGCGTGCCAAGTATTCATTTCAAATACACACTGCAATGATACAGTTTTCTGGGAATTTACTGGAATAACTACTAAAATAATACTGTTGTTTGTTTGTATAAATCAATGGCATTTTTTATGGGATGATAATGGCATGGTAACGCCGCCTGCGCTTTTTTTTTTAATGGATAATAGTGGAATGGTAACCCCGCCTGCGCTATCGGTATACGCTGGCGGGGCACCAGTGAGGGGTGATAGGTGAGATTAAAAAGGCAGGTTAGTTAGTCCATCGCGATGAATACACCTGGGATTCAGCACGATGGTTTCCAGGGAGGACCGCGTGGAGGTCGACCTGGCATGATATATTACTAGCAGTGGAACTGGTAGTCCGCATTACTAAATATTATGGGTGAAAAAGGTATGGTAACCCCGCCTGCGCTAACGGGATACGCTGGCGGAGCACCAGTGAAGGGTGATAGATGAGAATGAAAACAGGCCAGTTAGCCCATCATGATGAATTCATCAGGAATTAACCATGATAGTTTCCAGACAGAACTGCGAGGAGGTCGACCTGGTTGGGTATATTGCTAGCAATAGGATTCTCAGTCTCCATTACTAACAATCCCTTTCCCCCTCCCAGGTGTATTAGTCATGATAAGCTATTTGACCTGCTTTCGTTCTCACTGGTGCCCCGCCAGTGTATACCGATAGCGCAGTCAGGAGGGGGATTGGTAGTAACTACTACCAGGCCCACTGTTAGCAATATATCCTGTCAGGTCGACCTCCATGTGGTGCTCCCTGCCAACCATCGTGTTGAATCTCAAGTGTATTCATCACAACGGGCTAACTGACCTGCCTTTCCATCCTCACCTGTCATCCCTCACTGGTGCCCCGCCAGCGTATACCGTTAGAGCAGGCGAGTTACCATTCCACTATCAACCTTTAAAAATTTACTCGTATAGTAAATCATAATCTTTCTTTTTTACTTCGTCGTAGGTTAATAGGTATAAAGTTTCTGCAACAATAAGACAATGAATTATTAAATATTTTCCGAGATTGCGTAAATAAGTATTACATTTACAATTTTTTTTTCAGTTTATTTTCTTTTATATCGAAAGAGAGATGTTAACGCCATCTTTTGTTGTTTCTCATTAATTATAGGAAAGTCCGACATTTGGTATCTAGTTTGCAGATTACTTTTACTACTAAACACTAGATGTCGCTAGTAACCTTAAAATTAATAGGCCACTAAATTTTACCTTGTAGTTCGTACACTTAGATTTTAGAAGCAAAAAACCATTGAAGAAAACCACTGCTAGATGGCGTATCAAGATAAATCATACACCAGTTTATAAGTTACACCTTCAGGAACACAACTATGAGAAACGGGAGGGGGGAAAGGGATGGTTAGTAATGGAGACTGAGAGTCTTATTGCTAGCAATATACCCAACCAGGTCGACCTCCTCGTGGTTCCCTCTGGAAATTATCATGGTTAATTCCTGATGAATACATCATGATGGGCTAACTGGCCTGTTTCCATTCTCATCTATCACCCTTCACTGGTGCTCCGCCAGCGTATCCCGTTAGCGCAGGCGGGGTTACCATACCATTTTCACCCATCAAAAGAAAAGAACTATGAGAAACGTATCGAATTTGGTGCAGTGGGTTTTGCGTGATGCCGGGACAAATATATTGATAGACAGACAGACAAAATAAAAAAAAATTGTTTTGGCTTCTATTGCTGTTATTCAGATGTTTTTTTTTTACAACACAGGAGGCAAACGAGCATGCGGCTCATCTGGTGGTAAGTGACTACCGCTGCCCATGATTACCCACAACACCAGCGGCATTGCAGGTGCGCTGCCGTTCAAGTGGCATACTGTTTTATTGTCTTCTAGTCACAGGTAACGTCTTAAATTATGTATATCTATGTATATTTATATATACCAGAGGGAGACTTTGTATAAAAGTCGATTGCTTGGGTACCTCTGTCCCATTCGTGTTTCAACCGTGAAGCAGTTGTGTTTGCATGGCTGTGTTTCGGTTTGAAGGGTGGGATATGGCGTGAATTTACTGGGTACAGAGGAATAACACCTGAGTCCTCAGGAATGGCAACGCATGGGGGGTATCATAGGCGAAACAGTATACTCTGTTATGTGCATGGTACTGCTTACGTCTATAGGCGACGGTTACCACTTTCCATCAGGTGGGCCGTCAGCTTGTTTGCCATTCTAAGTTGTATAAAATATATATGTATATAAATATATATGTATAGATGTATATTTTTATTTCCCAACACAGCAGCAGAAAACACGTAGCGTGGTACCGCCCATATCGATTTGAAAAAGAATCATCAAAATCGGTTCAGAATTGGCGGCGTAATCGCGTGACACACAGCTTATGATCTTATTTTACTAATATAATAAAATTGTAACTGGACAGTGTCTGTACGTGGGAGATATTTTAGAAAAAATAATATCAGGGGTCTTAATAAGTACAATAGAATCATTTCAGCCATTATTCGTCCACTGCTGGACATGAGCCTCCCCATAGACCGCCATAGAGAAAGGTCCCGAGCCACCTGCATCCACTGACTCCCTGCAACGCATTTCAGATCGTCACTCCATCTAGTGGGGGGTCGTCCTACACTGTGTTCGCCCGTACGCGGTCACCACTCAAGAATCTTTATTCCCCATCGGTTATCAGTTCTTTAGGTAAGGAAATAAAAGTCATATTTGATTGCATAATAATTACTATAATTATTTTTTTTTTATTTAATGTTACATCTACAGCTTCGTACCTCTAAACTAGCTACTGATCACAATTTTACTACGCTATTATTATTTTTATACATTTTTCAGATAAAAAAAAAAAGAAAAAACAAAATAACACGAGAGAAACAAAAATCTACCAAACATTACGAATACACATTACACACACGAATAATTTTTAAAAAAATTAACATAGAAGATTCCTTTTTTAAACATCAACATTTATAAAAAAAAAAAAAAAAAATTAAAAACCAAACATTAAAGGTAACCAAAATGAAAATTGACATAGTTAAGAAACGAGCTTGTTCTAATTCTATAGAAGTTACGGTACATAAAAAAAAAAAACTATCTAACCAGAATAAATTCGTTTTTTTATCTCTTTCTTTAATATTATTACTAATTTTGAAGAAAAAAAAAAGAAATATATTATTTTTAATATATTTCTTTTAATGAAAATAAAAGAGACATAACAATGGTGTTTACTGTATTTTATTGTCTATGCTTCTGTTTATTTACGTTTGTCCTGAACATAGATTTAGGATCTGTGGGTCATTTAGTATATAATCTACAAGTCTCGATTTCATTAATCTATATTAATTTTAAAAATGGAAATAATCACCAACATTAAAAAAAAAATACAAAAATACGACAGCCGTCGATGAAAATTTTTTCAAATAAAAAGAAAACATCAAGATACGCTAGCAACTAAATTCAAGATAGACATATAATTAAGTAAATACAAACATATGAAAAATGGAAATCTGTAGCATATTTTAAAGTCTTTTTACTAGTGAAACTAAAACAATATTTTTGCCCAAAACACGAGTCGTAAAATAACGAAATATTCGAAACCTACTGTACTAATTTGACAGTTGAACTTTCTATATTAGTCATAGAAAAGTATCATGCTTAATCTATGGTATAAGTACAAAAAGTATTTAAAATATTTATTTGTATTTTTAACATATGTCTATCTGGGAAAAGTGTTCAGTTTCACTAGTAAAGCAAAAACATATTATATATAAATATACTTTTTATTTGCCATGTATAAAAATATTTATTAAAAATACAATATTAAAAAAAGAACTACGTCTATGGACAATAAAATGTATAGATATCTAAGTATATTTTTTACAAAGATTTTTAATATGATACTACAAAAGAAATAACATCTAACAGCCTACGAAAGAGTACGTCTATTCTATATAAATGCATCCAGTAATTCTCAAAATTCTAATAAAAACACTTATAATTTGATCTCTTTCTACAACGGTAAATGTTTTTTTTTTTTTAATAAAAAATATCTAATCTGTGATTATCCAAGAAATGCATAAGACTATTGTATAATAAAATTAAATCGATTATCCACCAAACAGAATGCAGTCGTTGTTAAAGTCATATAATAAAAAAGTTAAAAAAAAAAAATCGCAATGCGCGGCCCTTTTTTTTTATTGGAAATACAGAGCAATATTTTGCGTTCCAAATGAGCGTATTGGGATCCCTTCAAAATAACCTACTCCATCAATAATTCGAAAAATAAATAAATATTTTGAGCGATTACCTCGAGTCAAGCCACGTCTATTTTATTATTTTTAATTTACACAAGAAATCAACAGTATGTTGGTAGAATAGAATTAAGAAAAAAAAAAGACAAGAAGAAAACTATAGACAAAATGAATTTAATGTTATTTTTTAAACTAAACTTCTCTATCTCTATCACTTTGCTGTGCCTGATTTGGTAAATGAAATTTATACTTATATCGCTGATCTCGAGAGTCTAAACCTAAAATGAGAGAATAAATATAATCAGTGTTTCCGTGGTACAAGATATAAATTAAACGTATCCTTAGGTAATGCTACACACGCTGGTTTTTGTTTCAAATCCTCTAAATTTTCAGCGGCTACCTCAAATTCCTGCATTATGTTTGCAAACATTACAAAACTCATTGTGGTGACTAAAGTTTGACCTATACACGTTCTTTTTCCGATGCTAAACGGCAGGAAATGAGGTATATTCCTCTTGACAGATGTGACTTCCTTTTCGATCTCGGTGGTTTTGTCTATGGGACCGTTTCGTTCACTGTCCGACTCCATACCCGAGTCGCACTGTGACTTTCTTCGTACACGGACTTTGCTCTTCTCCAAAAATCTGGATGGATCAAATTTCTCCGGTTTCTCCCAGTACTGTTCTGAAGTATTCAATTCGTAGTTGTTAATGAACACAACAGTGCCTTTTTCGACGCCGTAGCCGGCGACTGCTGCGTTCTCTGTGGCCACATGAGGCACGATCGGCGATGATGCATATCTTAAACATTCCAGGATGGTAGCTTCAGTGTATGGAAGATTGCTTCTGTCCGAGAGGCCGATCGCTCGTTTTCCTTTTATGAATCCATCGATTTCCGATCGAATCCTCTTACCAACCTCCGGATCTCTCGCGACAGCTGCCAGACAGAGCATCACAAGGTTGCCCACAGATGAATGACCGCCTAAGAAGTCTTCTAGCATGAATATGATTGTGTTTCTATCTACCGTTGGATCGTCGTGTAGAACTCTTAGCAGACCATCTAGAAAGTCCTTTTCGGGGGCTTCTACGTCTAGATTCATCTCTCTCTGCTCAACAATCCTGGATAAAATGAAGGATCTAATATCGTGTGACCAATTGGACAATTTATCCATGTGTTTCTTATAAAACGGTGCCAGCCAAGGCAGGAAATCGACGGCATATCCTTGATTTATTTCCCAGAAGATCTCGTCGAAATGGTCGACGATTTTCTTGAATTCCGGATCGTTCTCGTCAAACCGGACGCTGCACATATAGTGGGCAAACATGTTCATGGCCGTACCCATTAGTATTGGCTTCAAGTTTATGCTGCTTTCAGTGGATCTGGTGATGGATTTTAAAGTTTGAATCAGTTCTATGGACTCGAATGTGGCCACGTTACCGATTTTTGCGTAGCTGTCGGTGTGCTGTTTAGGCCCGCAGTGGCGTCTCGCGAGGTTCCGGCGGCGGAGCTGCAGATTCGACCAGTCGCAAAGGGCCAGCGCTGTGGACAAGAGAAAACGTTGTTATAGTTTTTAAACAATTATTAATAAGTTGAGATGATTTTCAGAAGAAATGAGAAGGAGGTCCTCAAGTTATTAGTTTTTTTTTTTAAGGATAAAGTTCCAACGAGTCAAAAATTGTAAAATGTATATATGTCTTAGATAAGGTAAGCAGCCTAAGGTTAAATTGAAAATTAAAAACGATATAAAATTCTTACGAACATTTTTGAAAAAAAAAACAAGATGTACAGTGCATAATGATTCGTAATGATACTGACGATCTCCACTGAATACTTTGGTTTATATTTAAGTTTAAAAATACAAATATACATATGTACAGGTTGCTTATATATTAATTTATAAGCAACACGTGTATATGTATCTTTATATTAAATTAGAAAAAATTGCCGTTTGATCCCGGCATAGAATGGTCCACCCCTTCCTTTCCCGTGAGAGTTGTAAGGAATGATTCAGAGAGCTTAATAGTCGGAGGATGGACAGCAGCGATTGCCAACCCACCTAACAAGAGTGGCAACTTCTGGCAAAACCCCCCAATAGAGAGAGACCTACATTTGGCAGTGGACAATTAACGGCTGATGTGGTAACAAAAAAAATAATTCTAAATTCAAATTGAAAAAATCTACTTGATTCAAGGTAATTTTTAACCTCATTACTCTGCAACATTGAAAAAAAAATGATTTAAAAAAAAATGTCAGCCAAACGTCAAATTAGCTGACAAAAGTCTTTACACGTTTTTGGTTTTGAATGTTCTATTTATTCAAAACACATGCATCCAGATTTTATTATTGTTTTAAAGAATAGACAGTGGAGAAATTTAAAAATAAAACGATCCCTACAGCTCGTTATTCTTACCGAATGGATCACAAACACCTATAATAAATTCCAAAGATAAAAATATTCACGCACGCAAGCGCTCGGCCTGCACTTAATGCACATCCAATTTTAATATGTGAATGCATAATGTTACATCGATAGATGACAAAAACAAGCGTCTAAGGCCGTAAGACTGCCGTAAGCGAATTTACATTCTTAGAAAAAGTAAGTTTATGATGAAAAAAAAAATTGGCGGGAATAGAATATTTAATATTTTTTTTTTATCAAATGCAGATCAAGCTAGAGTCGAAGAGGCACTGTTGACGCATACAAAGTGACCTAGATAAGGTAATGACAATTTGTAAATTAATTTAAGACTTGTATTTTTGACTGATGGCTTATATATTTTTTTTATACCACTGAGGTGGCAAACAAGCATACGGCCCACCTGATGGTAAGCGGTTGTATAGTATATTGTATACAGTCAAACCCTAATAAACTAAAAAAATACCTATCTCGTGAGCATCTAATGCCTAGGTAGAGAAGGGATTGTTAGTTATAGGGACTAGCAGTCCTATTGCTAGCAATATACCCTATCAGGTCGACCTCCACGTGGTCCCTCCTGAAAACCTGACTGAATTCTAGGCGTATTCATTATAATGGGCAAACTGTGGTGCCCCACCAGTATATACCGTTAGCACAGGTGGGGTTACCATTCCATTATCATTCAATAAATGAAAATATTTCATTTTGATTCATTTAATACAAAAAATAAACATATATATATATATATATATATATATATATATATATATATATATATATATATATATATATATATATATATATATAACTATTTATTTTAGTTTCCGTTTTGCCTATGCTGCCCACTGTGTCACTGTGTTAGGTTGACTGGAAGAGATCTCTTTGAGAGATAAGATCGCTTTCGCTTACTTTGTTATTAATTTGTTGTTATTACCGTATGTTTTGTGTATATATATATATATATATATATATATATATATATATATATATATATATATATATATATATATATATATATATTCATAATAACCATACCTAAGTGGACTATATGTGCAGAAATGTTAATATGTAAAGAGAACAGAAAAACTGGTTTAATAGAGCATGTCGAATGATGCGGTTAAGAAAAACCTATTGCATAACCCATTGATACAATGCTTTTAATTTGTTTTTATACAACTTAGAATGGCAAACAAGCTGACGGCGCACCTGATGGAAAGTGGTAACCGTCGCCTATAGACATGAGCAGTACCGTGGACATAACAAGCCCTTGAGGAATATGTGAGGAAAAAACAGCAAAAGGAATGGAGGACTTTGAAGGGTCTTAAACATTCTAAAAAGTTCTTAAATGACAATGTCGAGGGATGGGATAAACTCATCTACAGCGGTGGCAGACAACAAGCAAGACTCATTATGGGTGCCATAACTGGACATATGCCAGTAAGGCATATACTATACAAGATGGGTCTATCTTCGGACACACTGTGCAGACTGTGCGCGGAGAAACCGGAATCCATGGAACACTTGATGTGCAACTGCGATTCGTTGGCAAGTATGTGTATGAGTCTACTGAGAACGGCTTATCCAGAGCCAGGAGACTACAGATATCTTAAACCGCGGGATATCGTTAGGGTAACACATAGGATCTATGAAATGATGGTATAAGGTAGGGGGAAGCACAAAAGATCCGTATGGGTCGACGTGCATCGGCTTAGCTGACCCCATGCGAAAAATAAGATAAGATGGACATAACAAGAGATATTTTTTTTTTTACTTATTTTATACAAAAAACCACAGCTCTTAAAAACACAACTCACATGCTAAGTCTCTTATGAATACGGCCAATAACGGATTTTATTTACATACATACATACATACATATCTGTCACGCCTGCCTCCCATTAGAAAAACAAACCTCTTTCGCTTCCTCCATTCTTTTCATACACGATTCCTTCAGCAATTTGGTCGACATACGTCCGTCTAGGAGAGCCCCTACCGACATCTCCATTCATTCTTGCTCGATAAATCTCTTTCGTAATTCTTCTTTCATCCATCCTCTCCAAATGGCCAAACCAACGCAACATTCCTTTTTCGATTTTTGTTACTACATCATCTTTCAGTCCACACTTCTCTCTAATCACACTGTTATGGATTTTATTTATTCAAACAGAAATTATAATACCAAAGCGAGGCAGGCGAGTAGAGTGGATGTATGCAAGCAATACAAGTGCATGTATGAAAGAAACCATGTATAATAATGAGTGTCCATAAAGTTAAGTTAATTGATATATAAAATAATTAAAATCCATGTTGCTAAAGTTCAGATATTGACGGCAATGATTAAGTAATACAATTTCATGGTAATCCATTGTAAAGAGATATAAATGTATGCGTGTACATATATGTGTACATGGCGGGCTTAATGCTAAAAGCATTCTCTCCCAGTCAACCATAGGGAAGTGTCAGAATACTCGAATGCGGTACTAGTAATTATTGATATACATACATACTAAAATTACATATATAAACGAATAAATATATATAAATAACAAATATACTTACACATATATGACATATACTATATTATACACCAAATCGAGAATAATATAAAGCACTTACTGCTCGGATGAAGTGTTTTTCATTGCAATTGTCGTAGAAAAATTAGGTGAATCGTGCACAATCTGGGTGACCCAGATACACTCAACGCGAGAGGGCGCCATTCATACGAAAATAGTCAATTGCGCATTGTCTTAAACATACATTTTTTTTGCATACATATAGAAAATATATAAATCATATTACATATGGTAAGCGTTTATTTAAGTAGGAAACGATATCATTATGCCGAGTGTCATGTTTCTATTAAAATTTGGCAAATAGCTGAATAGACAATATACAGTAGCCGAGATAATATGTTTATATATATAATATATTATATAAATAATTTTAAGAAGAATTACGAAAGAGATTTATCGAGCAAGAATGAATGGAGATGTCGGTAGGGGCTCTCCTAGACGGACGTATGTCGACCAAATAGGCGACGTGCTGAAGAAGGGCCAAATTAAAAGTACCCGTAACCGGCGAGCGTGTATGACAAGATTGATGAATGTGGAAGAAGCGAAAGAGGTTTGTTTGAATCGAAGCATTTGGCGTTCCATTTTTTCTGCCTACCCTAATGGGAGACAGGCGTGGCAGATATGTATGTATGTATAAATAATTTTGCATCGTGCCTCCCATCAAATTATTCATTATTACTCCTCTCCATCCAAAGGTTGCCTGCAAGAGATCGCATTCAGTATGATGGGCTTACTGGCCTGTTTTCATTCTCATCTATCATCCTTCACTGGTGCTCCGCCAGCGTATCCCGTTAGCGCAGGCGGGGTTACCGTACCATTTTCACCCATCAAAAAAAAATACATAAATAATAAAATAATATTAACACAAATAAATACATATAATGAAATCGGTAACTGGTCGCTGTCTGTACATAGAAGATATATGGGAAAAACTATTATAGGGGGGCTTTATGGACGCAATACAACCCAAAACAAAAATTTTTAGATTTTTTGTCTGTTTATCAGTTTGTCAGTACGTTTGTGCACGCTAAACTCAGAAACAGCTTAACCGATTTGAATACAGTTTTTACTAGTGCTTTGCAGTTAGCTCCGCTTAACATTTAGTGTTTGTTTTATTTCAATCGGTTGATAAATAAAAAAGTTATATCAATCTAAAGGATCACATATAAAATGCTATAAAATAACCGATCAGTTGTATTGGCTGACACTTTATGAAGGTATTAGGTACGTAATTGTCATTTAAGTATATAATACAATGTAAGATCGGATACATGAAGAGTTTTAATGGAAATAATATACGGGAACTACTTAGAAGCGGGCAACGCCGCGTGGAATGGCTTGTAAACAATAATAATAAACCTACTTACATAATACTTATACAGTAATTATTTTTCAATGGATACTAATGTAATAATTAGGGGGGAGGGATTGTTAATAATGGGGAGGTTAGTCCCCATTGCTATCAATATACCCTTTTAGGTCAACCTCCACGCAGTACCCCTTAGAAACGTTCATGACTATATTTTCGTTAAATTCATCACGATGGGCTA